CATTTGTGTGCATTTTTAACACACTTTTATTGATTAATGTTTTTACTGTTCAATTGTTTGACGAGATTTGAAAATGAAGATAAAATAACAATTGATTTATTTGTGTTGAGATAAGAATATTCTGCATTGAAATCATTGCATGTAATCGTGTAGTCATTTATACAGTAATATTGGGCACAATATTTGTGGTTCAGATCACGTTCAAAGAGCTCATACATCTAGAGCTCTGACCATTAAAGCTATTTTTAGAAACCAAATATAATTTATATTGTGGTAACACATATCGGGACCCCAGCATAAAACATAATCTCGATTAATTAACGGATGGGATGCCACGTTAATTAAATATGCAATTATGGTAAACATGCATAACAATCATTTATTGTAAAGTCTAGAAAACATGTTATTATTTTGAATTTTTGCCATTTATTTAATTATTATACATAAAAATCAATAATGTTTATGAGATTCTACACATTTGAAGACCAAAATTCAACATTTCAAACATGCAATACTCGCTCGCAATTAAATTCCCAAATGTGTTCACTCTTTGAACAAAATTAATAAATTCAATGAAAAGAGAGTATATTATAGATAGTAATTAGATTACAATTTATTTTATTTGGGATGTAATAGATATCGCTATTGCGGGACAAATTGGACAGCAAGTCGTGTGCGCTGATCATATTATCTCAAGAACTGCTTGAATGTAAGGCACAGAGGGATCAGTTCAAACTGATGGGCGAACAGTTGCGGGAAAGGTATGGTGTAATCAAGAGGAAGATGGAGGGACTCGGGCCCACACTTTCGGCCGTTTATGATTACGAGTACGATATGCCCAGAAGTAGCCAATCGCCCGGTGAACCATTGGCTCAGCTATTGATGACCCTTAAGGAGCAAAACAAACATTTGATCCGTGAAATCGACGATTTGAGAATGAAGTTAGAGGACGCCGAAGGTATGTTCACTATTATATTACTTTTTATCTAACTCTACTCGTCTCTCTCTCTCTCTCTCTCTCGCTCTCTCTCTCGCTCTCTCTCTCTCTCGCTCTCTCTCTCTCGCTCTCTCTCTCTCTCACTCACTCACTCTCTCGTTCTCCTTTCGCTTTCCTTATCTCTTTCTCAACTCTTTATTCTGTGCTTTCATTTATAATGAATGGGAAAATCACTCATCCATTAAATGATGTGTTTTTTCTCTTTTTATTTCACTTTATAATCGCCTTATATTTTGCTATTTTATAAAATGTTATCAAAAATGTACTCAAATTTTACATAAATTATTAAGAAATTCAAAAAAGGCTTTAATACTTAATATTTAAATCTTATCATAAAATATGAATAGTTTTTATTCATTTATTTTGATTTCAAACCCTATTTTTCTGTTTAATAATTTATTCATTCAAACATAAAAAGGCATACATTTTGTCATTTAATACCCGAATTGACCTAAAATGCCGGCCATAATACTCGATAAGTCTTGGGTGGTTGCCATTGACATCGGGGTAGTCACTGCTGGACCACTTCCGCCGGGTAACTGTCCATTGATATCGCCCACTATTTTCATGATTGAATCGATACATCCCTGAACATCAAACGCGGTCGACATCTTGGATGGCGATCCGGTAACTGATCCCTGCATACCGGCGAAAGCGCCGCCCCAACGAATGGGCCATTGATTTGATGGCTGAGCGGTAGCACTGGTGGCTCCCGTCCACACCATTGCCGATACCTTGGGTTTGGCTGTTGTGCCCGAACCAGCGTTTGCTTGACTTATGGCCGGCGGTGTACTTCCGTACTGTTTCTCAATCTCGCCGACCACTGCAGAGATGAGTTCACCCCAGTCTACGGTCGTCGTGTCCATTGGGGCCGATGTGACGACAGCCGCACCGCCGCCAATACCCGCGACCGTTGATCCAAATGAGTCCATAACCTGTGAGATCAAGTCCTGCCAATTGGGCGTATTTGTCAGTCCACTCATCGGGGTGTTTGTCTGCGGCTGCTGTTGTCCACCCATTGACTGCGACACCATCTGATCCCAATTGAATGGTGTAGTCATGCCTTGAGGCGATTGAGTAGCCGGCAGATTGGCGCCATTAGTGCCCATTCTGTTCACTATCTGAACCATAATATAGACAATTTGCGTAATGATGATCATGATCTGATTTTGAGAGCTGTTGTCTGCGGGTGCGGCCACTTTGTGGGGCTTTCTGGTCGTCATAAAGCCGTTATCATAACACGCGCTGTCGTCTAGCATTTGTCCGGACTTTTTGTTGATATAATTAGTGAGACGAATGCGGACGCAATCCAATCGCTGGATCGGATCCTTAATCTCCATCGGCAGGTCATCGATGGTCTCGAAGTGTCCTAATATGTAGTCAATGCGGAGAATCATATGCGTGAGGATCTGTCGGAAGTGATAGTTCTGGAGTAGCGTTGCGTCCACTTGTATGCCGCTAACCATCTCCGACAAGATGTCAATTAATTGATTCAATAGCCAAACGATTTCTTGCGTCTGCGAAGAGATCCTATAGAAGAGTGGACTGTGTTTAGTATCGTCGGTGACTTTGTCTTCATTGTCTTCAATTGGTTTTGACAGCGTTTGTGGTAATAGTGTTGAGATTATGATCACTACTGATAAAGCGATTATAAACGAGTGATTTATTACTTTTGTATTCATTTTTTGATCATTAATTTAATCTCGACTTTGCGTTCAAGTGATTGCATCCAACACTAAATCGATCAGTCGTTGTGTGTCTGGTATTAAAATCAACAAAAAATTTAATATTATGTCTCTTTTATTATTCATACCCTCATAACGATTAGTGAATTAAATAAAAATATAATACAAATGTTATTAAACTCGATATATAGTGGCCTTTATTTGCATTTTACTGTAATAATTGAAAACAATAATTCAAACAAACTAGACAAATTAAATATTTAGTTAACTTTAAAATTATTTAACTTACTAATTAATATAATCTAGTTTTCTTATTAAATTTTGATTATTATTTGGGAAACAAATAGCATTTTATATTTTTTAATAAATTCTTAGCGTTTCTTAACACATATTTGTGCAAAATGTCTGGTATTTGAAAATATCGTTAATGCGATTCCTATGTCTAGACTTTATAATAGACTAATAAATAATGAATTTTGAATCGACAGGTGATCTGAAGATAGTGAGGGGACAGATGAGGACAATGTCTCAACACATCGATTCGGCCGCTTATGAGTCCAGAGATGTCAGGAATATAGACATGAATATCATATCAGAGATGGAGTTCTATAAGAATAAAGTAATTCTATTGGAAAGGGATTTGCAGTCAGTGTTGGACGAGAAGGAAGAGTTGATTCTCAACAGAGACTCCTATAAACTCAAAGTCGATAGACTTAACGAACAGCTCAACGGTTTGATGAGAAGCGGTTACAGCACTGGCGGCGATACCGCCGAAGACAACCGAATCGTTGACATCGACTCACTTTTTATGGAGAATCGGTTCCTCAAAGAGAAGATCAAGACGTTTGAAGACGAGAAGAAATTGATTTCTTTGCGATTAAACAAATACAAAGAGATTCTCGAGAAGAAGAGATCGCAATCACCCAAACCGGCGCTCTCGTCGGCCAAGACTACTATGGCGTCCATTCAACTCACGGCCGGCAATGTTATTACCGCCCGACAGGTCGAGGAACTTATCGGTGAGTTTTTCTGGTCTTATTATCTCGTTGTGCGAACGGATGCGAAATGTCTTTTGTTTTTATCTCATTTTGTTTTTTTGTGAGCAATAAAATCACATGCGATTTATTGAGTCTATTAAATGTTAATGTAAATGTATGTTATGTTCAACTCATAGCCACCGATGCGCTCAATAACATGGAAGTGACGGCTAATAATTTGTCTCAATTAAGAAATCTTGTGATCGCACTCTTCGACGGTAATTATGGTTTTGTTTTGTGTTTTATATTTTGCTTTTTGTAATCAAATAAAAATCTTTTCAAACATCTCTTTATTTTTTGTTAATTAAGTGAAAGTACTTTAAGTCTGCCTTTTATGCTAACAATTGTGAGAGCAATTGACTTAATTATTAAATAATAATGATTTCAAAGATTTTTATTTAGTTATTGATTTAAATATTGAAATTTCTTTACAAAATATATAATTAACAATAAAATGAAGTAATTTTTGTGCAGAAATGAGAACGGATTCTATTTATGCTAAATATTTGGCAAATAAATACAAATTCAATAGACGTGTTAATCGATGTATGTTTCCATTCAAGTAGTTATTTATATCACTATTGATTAGTTTGAATAGATTTGTATTCAATTTTATTAGATTACAGGACTTTATTTGTCACTCAATTCATTAATTAATGTCATTTATATACGAAAACAGGACTTCAAGACAAAAGTATATCTCTTTCGCACTCAAAGAAAACAAATAAAGTTTTGGGTAAAAGACTGGAAGAGTTGGAGAATCAGTTGAGAAGCGTCCGAAACAAAGACAAACTGCCGATCGTTAAGGCGGAGAGTCTGGAGAGCAATACGAGCAGCAATACAAACACCACATCCAATGTGGAAGACGTGGTCACTCCCGATGACGAGCTCGTGGACGACGAGGACGAGGGCGACGGTCCCGATGAGGACGAGTTGCCCCCAGAGTTGGACCGACTCGTCAAAGATGCCATTCATGAGCTCAAAATTAGGGATTTAGACGAACCAAACGGCCAAACAATGTCGTCGACCGACACTATTAATACTGTTATTACGAATTATTAAGTTTGGTTTTCTGACCATATTTTTATTATTATTTGTTTCAAAGTTTATTGATTTGAAGACCATTTAAAAGTAAAACTCCATAACATTATAATTAAAATTATTTTTAAATTTGAACTTTATTTTATATGATAGTTATACATGTATAATGTTTACAACACTGTACTAGTCTTTTATGAATTTTTGATGAATTTTGTTACCAAAAGCTTTATTTGCTATAAAATATATTTAAATATTTATTTTTAATCAATGTATTGTGTTATGAATTACAAATAAATATGTCAATAAATATCTCAATAAATATCTCAATAAATTTTAACTTATTATTATATTTTGAGTGAAACAATAAATCAAATTAAAAATTTTATGTTAAATCTAAGCATAAATTAAGCATAAACTAAAACTATTAAAAATAAAAGTTTTACCAACAATAAAGTTAAAAAAAATTAATTTTTCAGTTAAATATATTTCTCTCTGATATAAATCAGTTATAGATATCAGTGGGAAAGAGAGGACATAGAGGGGGAAAGAGTGAGCCATGCCTTACAAATTAAAAGCAATACCAGATCCGGAGAAAAAGGGCGGAAAGACAGTAGAGATACCGAAATCAGTTGAACTCAAGAAATTGGTGGTCAAGAAGAAGATTGACTCAAAAATTGATGCCAAAGCCAAGGGTCCGGAAGTGATTCCCAAACAAGTGGACACTTTAAAGGTGTCGGAGAGAGTGTCCACTGCTGTCAAAGAGGTTAAATCCAACGCCAAGTATTACATCGGAAAGGAGGGCCACTCTTATGATTGCGGACCAGTTCTCGAAGTGATTCCTTACGGCGGCTTCAAAAACATCTCTACGGGCGGAACCACTTTGGAGAAGACGTTCACAACGAAGAAACAGCTCAATATCTCGACGTCCACTCAGAAGGGAAAGGACTACCTGTTGG